GTAGTAGCAGCAGCAGCACCACCAGCAGCAGCAGCAGCCACTGCGCCTGCATTAATCTCCCGGTTAATTCCCCGCACACGCGTAGATCGCATGTGGGTCGCAGGGGGGTCGTGCAGGGGTCATGCATGGGTCGCACGGGGGGTCGTGCAGGGGTCATGCGGGGTCGCGTGTGGGTCACGCGGGGGGGTCGTCACCTCGTATCTGCTTCATGACTCCGCTCAGGTATGCGACAAGGTCAGTGTCAGAGGTCATCAGCAGGGTCAGGTCATACTTGGACACGTGCTGGAACGTCTCCGGCGGATAGATGCCACGCTGATACAGAATGCTGTTCACTCCGTACGCTGGAACAAACAACGCGCACGCATGAACTCACTGTGATAATCACTAGTAAATAATCATAAATTTTGTGATCATTCAGGCCACAATTAAAAAAATATTTGTTTGCCTTCACCCGACCCAGGCTGAAAAGTTTGGGTAGGTAGGTAGGCTTTTTTTGGTGTGTGTGAGGGGGTCTTTTTACAAATTCAGCATGGTGTCTACATGTTCGGGTGTGCTTGTGCGGAGATACCTTTCATGTTGAATGTTTGTTTTGCTTGGTACATATAATGTATTGCCTACAGATTTATATAATGTGCAGTGATACAATTTGTAAAAAAAAAAGAAGAATGGGAAAGATCAATAAAATTTTTGGAGTCGGCCCCTTTTTGGCGGGTCGGTCGGGTGAGGGCAAACAAACAACATTTTTATTATGGCCTCACTTCTGGCATAATCCACTTTCTATGGCCAAGCCATAGTTAGTATAATCCACTTTCTATGGCCAAGCCATAGGACTTTAGCATAATCTACTTTCTATGGCCAAACCATAGTTAGTATAATCTACTGCCCATGGCCAAGCCATAGTTAGTAATACTAATAGTAATAGTATAATCAACTTTTTATGGCCTAGTTAGCTCAATCTACTTTCTATAACCAATCCATAGTTAGTATAATCCACTTTCTATGGCCAAACCATAGTTAGCATAATCTACTTTCTATGGCCAAGCCATAGTTAGTATAATCCACTTTCTATGGCCAAGCCATAGTTAGTATAATCTACTGTCTATGGCCAAGCCATAGTTAGTAATACTAATAGTAATACTAATACTAATAGTATAATCCACTTTTTATGGCCAAGCCATAGTTAGCACAATCCACTTTCTATGTCTAAGTCATAGTTAGTATAATACACTTTCTATGGCCAAGCCATAGTAGTCATTACATTAGTCATTAGCCTAGGCTTAGGGCTTACTAATCATGACATTACTTAATTTACTACATTACTTTAGTCATTAGTACTCATTTAATAGTTATTATAA